AATTAGAAGGAAGTTCATATTAGAAGTTCATATTATTTGTTGGGTTTTTTTTTGTTTGTTTGTTTGGTTTTTTGGTCCAGTCATGGGCCTGAACTCTGGGCCTGGGCGCTGTCCCTCAGCTCTTCAGCTCAAGGCTAGCGCTCTACGACTTGAGCCACAGCGCCACTTCCGGCTTTTTTTCTTTTTGCTTATGTGGTGCTAAGGAATCGAACCCAGGGCCTCATGCATGCAAGGCAAGCGCTCTACCACTGAGCCACCTTCCCAGCCCATTCATATTGGTTTTTATTAGCCATGGTTTTGGCCTTTCTGGAAGCCTCAGATTGTGATCCTCCTGCTTTCTGCATGATGAGAAGTACAGATATACGACCACACCCAATTTGTTTATTGAGATGAAATCTCAGTAACTTTTTACCTAGGCTGGCCTTGATCTTCCTGATCTCTGTATCCTGAGTAGCTAAGATTACCACCTTAACCAGGCTTTGGAAGCTAGGTTTTGAACCTTGTGCCTGGAAATTTATGAATTGTAATTCTTTGGTTAATACAGCATTTCTGTTTTTGTTTTTGTTTTTTTTGCGTCCGGTCATGGGGCCTGAACTCTGGGCCTGGGCACTGTCCCTCAAGGTAGGCTAGTGCTCTACCACTTGAGCCACAGCACCACTTCCGGTTTTTTTCTTATGTGGTGCTGAGGAATCGAACCCAGGGCCTCGAGCATGCAAGGCAAGTGCTCTACCACTGAGCCACCTTCCCAGCCCCACTAAATACTTTTAAAAATTTATCTCAGAAGTCATTTTAGGAAGAGTTTTTTTCTTACCTAAAATATAAGGAGTTAAACTGGATATGGTAGCACACATTTAAATCCTAGCACTTGGAAGGCTGAGAGAATTGGGGCCTTAGGATAGCCTAAGCTACTTAGAGAGACCTTGTCTTAAAAAAATGAAACAACCCTCCCCCATGGTATAACCCCTGCTTTCACTGTATTTGATGTTGGTATAATTTGTGGAGGGGAAGGGAATAAACAAATCGTTTAAATAGGGATACAGGTGGACCCATTGCAACAATGAGATGTACAAATCGTTACGTCGAAAAAAAACGAACTTTACAACTTTAGCTGGAGGTGGGGGAGTGGGGGGGTGGAGATGGGAAGGGATGGGAAGGGGAAACAAAGGAGGAGGCAACAATGCTTGATAAGAAATGTACTCGTTATCTTGCCCTTGTAATTGTAACCCCTTTGTACAGTATTTTCACAATTAAAAAAATAAAAAAAATGAAACAAAATATATGTATCCTACCTAAATATCTGTGTGTGTGTGTGTGTGTGTGTGTGTATGTATGTGTGTATACTGTTGATAGCAGTATATAGACCTAATTAATGCAATAGTAACTAACAATTAGGTGAGTTTACATATTGGGAATAACCAATTGGCTGGTGACTTAGCTTTTACTCCCCTCTGTGCAAGCAGTTGGTAGTTACTAGTAAATGCAGAGTGGTGAAGTTGCTAGACTTTGTGAAAAGTTACTCTTAGAATCCGATCTTTGGACAGAGGACCTGGCCTTGACTTTGCATTTATTTGAGGTAGGGGTGGAAAACTTAAAAGTCTTCTCAGAATAGGGCTGCAATGAGGATACTCGAACTTCAATGAGAATACTGAATCCCACTAAGAGAAACATAACTTGCATCAGCAGCCATTTCCCCATCAATATCTGTCTTGAGGAGCCTGATGATCCAGGCTTCCCAGTCCTCAGACTGGGCCCTTCCAAAGCAATCTCTGATCCCCTTGTCTGAGAGGGTCTGTGTAGCCAGAGCCTGATGTCTGTGGGGACCAGTTAGTTGATGGCTGTTTGGACTATTTAGGATAGACTAGGCTGTTTGCCTCTACTATTCTCCCCTTCTATCGTGTTGAAAAGTCCTTCCTGAAGCCAGGTGCCACAGTTTTAAACATGAGTCAGATTCTGTATAGCACATAATAGATCTGCAGAATTGGCCTTTTCTTTCCATTCCAAGGCTTTCTGGAAACTAGGATATGTAGAGAAAAATGGACACCAAAGACTGAAACAGCTGAGTGCAGGAATTGGACAAGGTCATTAGGGCGAAGCAGTGTGGGTTTTTGTTTGTTTGTTTGTCTTTTCCTCAGAATGTAATCACAGCACCATAAAACCACAGGGTGCCCTAAAGATAGTGTCAAAGAAATGTGCTTTAACAGTTTAAGGGTTTGGGGAGGGATGGAAATCAAATTAATTGGAATGCCAGTTTTGTTTTATTTTTTAATTTTTGGTGGTGCTAGGGTTTGAACTCAGTTTTGTGCTTTCCAGACACTCTACCACTTAAGTCATACTTCCAGTGAACATACCTGTTTTTTTTCCCCCACATTTTTTTTTTGCTAGCATCAACTAGTTTACAAGGAAATTTCCTAAACTAACCTCAACACAGTATATCATTGTGTGTTCACACATGTACATAAAGTATTTTTACCATGAAACAATGTATTTTTGTTGTTCTTTGTTTTTGTACCATTTCTGGGTTTTAAACTCAGGGCCTAGGCACTGTCCCTGAGCTTTTTTTTTTCTTGAGGCTAGCACTCTACCACTTGGATGAATCATATCTCTTTTTCTGGCTTTTGGTAGTTAATTTGAGATAAGAGTTTCATTGACTTTCTTGCCTGGGTTCTCTTCGAACTGTGTTCTTAGGTCTCAGCCTCCTGAGTAGCTGGGATCACAAATGTGAGCCACCAGTACCCAGCGAAGCAGTGTTTTTTGATGTTCTGATTGTGCTTCTAGATCCTAAATGATCCAGAAGCATATTCGATTCATGTTAATTATAACAACTGTATTTGAAAGCAAATATTTTCACATTTCAAAAAATGCTTAAAAGAATTGTACTCATTACTTATGTAACTGTAACCCCTCTATATTGCCTCAACAATAACAATAAAATACTTTTTAGGGCTAGGAAGGTGGCTCAGTGGTAGAGTGCTTGCCTTGCATGCATGAGGCCCTGGGTTTGATTCCTCAGCACCACATAAGCAAAAAGAAAAAAGCTGGAAGTGGCGCTGTGGCTCAAGTGGTAGAGCGCTAGCCTTGAGCTGAAGAGCTGAGGGACAGCGCCCAGGCCCAGAGTTCAGGCCCCACGACCGGACTCAAAAAAAAAATTTTTTTTTTAATGCTGGGGGGAAAATTCAAGACTATTCATTTGGCTGATTTAAGTATGACCTTGTTCAGAGTGGCTCCCCAGATATCCTAATTTCTAACAGCCAGGAACCTTCAATAAGAATCTGCTAGTTATAAGAGGATTTTTCAGGTTATTGTGACTTGTAATTGACTGTCAGAGCTCTTGGTTGATAAATTCAACTCCTCTATAAACTCCTGTTTTTGAGATTTTTTTTTTTAGAAGTCTACATTAGTCATGTTATTAGCATTTTATTTCGATTCACCAACCAACCGTAGACAAGTGTTCTTGTGGTTACCAAAGATGCTCAGAGCAGTGGCAGTTGTGAACACTGATGTGTTTTAATGAGTAGTGACCTTTTCAAACATTAATACTATGCTGAGATATATTTGGAAGCATTTAGTTCATTGTTGCACGGAAGGCTTTGATAACAAACACTTTTATTCTTGGAAATCTATGATCTGAATGGGAGACTTGTGTTTTTCTAAACATCTATCCCTTTTTGGTGGGTATTAATAATCAAAAGTGATCAAGTTGCCGGGCGCCGGTGGCTCACGCCTGTAATCCTAGCTACCGAGGAGGCTGAGATCTGAGGATCACAGTTCAAAGCCAGCCCCGGCAGAAAAGTCTGTGAGACTCTTATCTCTAACTAACCACCAGAAAACCGGAAGTGGTGCTGTGGCTCAAGAGGTACAATGCTCGCCTTGAGCTGAAGAGTGCAGGGATAGGCGCCCAAGCCCAGAGTTCAAGCCCCATGACCGAACAAAAAAAAAAGTGGTCAAGTTGCCTAATATCCTAAGATGGAAATTCCTTTATCTGCAGCTCACATGACTTGGCTGAAGTACCTGTGAATCCCAGCTTCTCTCTCACCTGCTAGTTTTTACATTTTTGTTTTTGTTGTTGTTTTTTTTTTTTTTGTTATTACTTGTAGTGGATCTCAATCTTGGCCCCATATTCTTGCTTGTTTTTTTCCACTCAGGGATGGCACTCTTAATCACTTGAACCATAGCTCCACTTTCAGCTTTTTGCTGATTCTTTGGAGATAAGTCTAACAGATGGAAATAGTGCTATGGCTCAAGTGGTAGACTGCTAACCTTGAGCAAAAAAGGTGAGGGACAGTTCTCAGGCCCTGAGTTCAAGCCCTAGGACTGGCAAAATAAATAAATAGACCAACCTACCTAGGCCGGCTTCAAACTATAATCTTTAAATCTCAGACTCCTGACTGGCCAGGATTACAGGTGTGATCCACTAGTGCCTGGATGTGTTTTCAGTAAAATAGACCTGTGAGAACAAAGTTGTAAGTCTGGCCAGTGAGAGCTGTCTGAGTGAGAGTAGCCCAAAGATGGTTTCATTCCTGTCCTTATCAGGTTAGGTTACAGACTTTTCTGTCAGCAGCTAAGATCAACACTTCAATAAACTAAGGTGAGTTAGGTCTAGTTTTGACTCCGTTATTGTCTCAGTTGTGTCTTCCATGGAAATGTAGGCCCTCTACCCTCAGTTTCTTCATCTGTAAGTTGGAGTGCTTTTTTTGTTTTGTTTTGTTTTGTCTTGGGGCTTGTATTCTGGGTCTGGGCGCTGTTCCTTAGCTCTTCAGCTCAAGGCTAGCGCTCTACCACTTGATCCACAGTGTCACTTCTGGCTTTTTTTCTTTTTGCTTATGTGGTGCTGGGGAATCGAACCCAGGGCCTCATGCATGCAAGTCAAGCGCTCTGCCACTGAGCTACCTTCCCAGCCCAATAGAGGAATTTTTGAAGGCTAACTTTGGGGAGTCTATGATGGCATATGAGTAAGGTGAAAAATTATATTGACATGAAAAATCATCTACATTTTGTTGCAGATCTTTGGAAGCACCAGTACAGTAACACTGCCTGAAACCTTGTTGTTTGTTTCAACCCTGGATGGAAGTTTGCATGCTGTCAGCAAGAGGACAGGCTCAATCAAGTGGACTTTAAAAGAAGGTAACTTGGACATTTGCTTAGCTGCTTCCAAGTAAACATGTTCCACAGATAAATGGTTACATGCTATTTAATAAAATAAGAGAGGAGAATGGGATAGGGGAAAAGAATTCTACGAAGAGGGTATGTTCACAGCCTGAATTGGTGACCACTAATTGCAGTAGATGAAGAGGCAAGTCTTATCTTTTTGCTTCATTGCTTCTGTCCAGACTTCAAGTTTACATAGCTCTAAGCTTTTCTATTAGTAGTTTTGGCTGGTTGGTCTTTATGAAGACATAATGCATTAGATTTGTTAAGTTCTAGTGATTAGAATCTTGTAATCTTAATTATAAATGATATCTTCTCAACTCCTCAGTTTACTCATTTGCGTTTTTTTAATAGAGCCTGAAGTACCTGAGGGCTGTAAGACTTGACATTCATCTAAGCTAACCACATTTTATTGGGTTTGTGGTGAGGGGAATAAAAGACTGGGCTTGTTTCTCATTTAACCACTCACATGTCCATCTTACGATCTTACATTTATGTGTGGTAGCTGGCTGCATGAAGCCCTATACCTGGGCAACTAATTCCATTTTATTTACAAAGATATCTTCCTGGATAAAGCCAGGCAGATCTCAAGTTTTGGGACTTTCGGTGTTATGTCCCTTATTCTGTAATAATTTCATTTGGCCCTAGTTTGGGTCTGACCAACATGTTCTTTATCATTGCTTCTCTGTGGCTTGTTATTTTCAGGAGCATAGCAAGTGGTTTTCCTTTCTTGAAAAAGCATTCCAAAACAATACTGTAGATGGAAAAACACTAGGGTATGTCAGAAGGTCAAACATCATTTTGCTAATTCAGCAGCAAACCCGGTTCCCATCTGTAGGTGAGGACAACTCAGGTACCAGAGGCGTTCTACCTCACCTGTCTGGGCTTTGTGTGGATCAGCAATAACTTTTTTTTTCTTTTTTTGCCAGTCCTGGAGCTTGAACTCAGAGCCTTTACACTGTCCTTGAGCTTCTCTGTGCTCAAGGCTAGCGCTCCACCATTTGAGCCGCAGCACCACTTCTGGTTTTTTCTGTGTATGTGGAACTGAGTAATCAAACCCAGGGCTTCATGCATGCTAGGCACCTTCCCAGCCCCAGCAAGAACTTTTAAGCCAGCAATGGACAGCACTCAGGAGTAAAAGGCCACAGAAGAAAGATGTAATAGACTTTGCACTGCAAGCTCTGAGAACATTGTTAGTAATCAGAATTTTAAAAACGTAAGCATTTTCTATTTTTGTACAAAAATGAAAATCAACAAATCATAAGATGGATTGGAAGAAACATTTTGGCCATTGGATGTCAGGGGCCTGTCCCAAGTTTGAGTGTTCCCAGCAGGACATTTTTCCATGTTCAGCTTCATTCTGCCTGCTCTGCTTTTCAGTGCACATCTACTTTGAAGCTGATCTCCAAATCTTCATTTCTACAAATAGCCTTGGCTGTATCCAGTAAATCTGTGTCCTGGCTTGCCTGTTAGTCAAACATATGGTTCTCTACTACAACTAGGTACTAAAAGCATTGCCTTATTGTACTCCATTTAACATGTAACCTAGTCTGGGGAAAATACCATGTGGAGAATGAAGAAAAAGGGAGACAATGTCTTCAAGGTGCCTCATAGTCTGACGGGAGGAAAAGGCAAGAATACAGTGTTTCAACCCAGAGTTCTGTAACTTCTCAAGAGGTTCTAGTAATGTGCTATGAGCCAGCATCCATCTGGGGCCAGAAAGCATTTCTCAAGCTGTGGTATCAGAGATTAGTGTTGAGGGGGGTGGTCGAGGAAGGCAGGGGTGAGCTTCAGTCTGAAAGGAGGCTAGGAAAAGATAGAGGAGGCTGTAAGTCTGAGCAGTAGGGACTAGCACATTTGTAGGAGTTGAGGAACATTCTGAAGGTAGTGAGTGGGAGGGCCACAGGATATGTTGGCCCTTACAGATTGAAAGTTGAAAGCCATTAACATGCTTGAGCAGGTGAGTGATTTGATGGATGCTATGCTTTCAGATTTATCCGGCAGCAGTATGTGGGATGTCTGGAGACAGGAAGGTGACCAGGAATGAGAGAGGGGAAAGACAGATAGAAGCAGTAGAATCCAGCTACTGGTTAGGTGGGAAGAATAACAAGGAGGAGTTAAATGACACTTATAGGGAAAAATAGAGAAATATGATTAAGGTCTAGCTTGAGCATAATTTCAAATAGTATTCATTCTATCTATCTATCTATCTAATCTATCTATTTTATCTATCTATTTATAATTTATTTATTTTGTCAGTTGTGGGGGCTTCAACTCTGGGCCTGGGTACTGTCCCTGAGCTTTTTTGCTCAAGGGTAATACTCTATCACTTTGAGCTATAGATCCATTTCCTGTTTTGGGGTGGTTAATTGGAGATAAGAAAATCACAGGGACTTTTCTGCCCATGCTGGCTTTGAATTTCGATCCTCAGATCTCAGCCTCCTGAGTATCTAGGATTACAGGTGTGAACCACCAGTGCCCAGCGTATTCATTATATTCTAAGGTGCATTGTTTTGTTAAGAATAAATTGGCTTTTTAAAGTTAAACCTGTGGTTATAATTAGTATTTCTGAAATGTTAATGTAGATGGATTATGAAGGTATCCATATACTGTTATGGTAAGGTTAGGATATGGTAGGGTTAGAATATGGTAAGAAAACCAAGTAGGAGGCAAACTCTAGTAGGGAAACATAGGAAAGAAACTCACAGTGAAGGGCTGGGAAGGTGGCTCAATGGTAGAGCACTTGCCTTGCATGCTCGAGGCCCTGGGTTCGATTCCTCAGCACCACATAAGAAAAAAGCTGGAAGTGGCGCTGTGGCTCAAGTGGTAGAGTGCTAGCCTTGAGCTGAAGAGCTGAGGGACAGTGCCCAGGCCCAGAGTTCAGGCCCTATGACCGGACCCCCCCCCCAAAAAAAAAAAACAGTGAAAAGAGCCACAGAAACAAATGGAGTCAGGGAGTGGAAGGGCAGTGCCAGGGAAGAGGGAAGGCCCCACTGAGAAGGTGTCATTTGATCATTTGAGCAAGAGCTCAAGAAGGGAAGGGGATCATATAGGAGGATCATGCAGGGCAAAGGTAAGAGTGTCCTTGACTGCCCAGAGCTGAAGGTGGTGTGGCTGAAGTAGAGCAGTAGTCGACGTGCTGAGCTCGGAGAGATGATGGGGGCTAAATAGAGCAGAAGGACTCTGGTCTACATTTATATAATTTGTTGTAAAGGAACCATCTTGCTTTCTTTAAAAAAAAAAGCAAACAAACATATAAGCAATAACCTATATAATGCACAGTTTCATGAAGAGATATATTACCCAAATGGTAGTATATTTTAGAAATACAAGGGACAAAGATTTGCTGTGTAGCTCAGGATGGCCTTGTACTTTTGATCTTGCTGCTCAACCTCCTGAGTGCTGTGATTACAAGTGTGTGCCACCATGCTTGACTCATGGAAGTAATTTGTGTGTGTGTGTATCAGTGTATGTGTGTCAGTGTAAGTGTGTCAGTCTTGGAGCTTGAACTCAGGGCCTGGGTGCTCAAAGCTAGCATTCTCTCACCTGCACTATAGTGCCACTTGCTGCTTTTTTGGTGCTTAACTGGATTTTCCTGCCCAGGCTGGCTCCAAACAGCGGTCCTCAGATCTTAGCCTCCTGAGTAGTTAGGATGACAGGCATGAACCCTGCTACCTGGCTAGGGAAGTAAGTTTTAATCACATATGTGCAGTTTAACATACAAATGCTCAACAGTAGAGTGCCTGCCTAGCAAGCCCAACGCCCCAAGTTCAAACCTTGATATCAATAAATAAGGTAGGTATTCTGCATGTAATCTGCCCATGTATGTGAAGATACCACCACACCCATACAAAAGAAGTATAAAGTTGTATGTCAGTGGCTCTAATCCTAGCTACTCAGGAGGCTGAGCTTTCAGGATTCTGGTTTGAAGCCAGCCTAGGCAGAAAACTCCACGAAACTTATTTCCACTTAATCAGAAAAAAAAAAGCCAGAATTTTCTGGCTCAAGTGGTAGAGCACTAGTCTGGAGAAAAAAAAAAAAACCCTCAGGGAACGCTCCCAAGCCCTGAGTTCAAGCCCTATGACAGACAAAAACAAACAAACAAGTGTAGTCTTAGTAGTCTATGTATGGTAGTGCATGCCTCTAATCCTAACACTTAGGGAGGCTAAGGCAGGAAAATGAGTTCTAAGCCGTCCTGGCTATACAGTGAGATACTGTCTTTATGTAATATTATAAAAAAATACTTTAGTGCCTATATGTAAAACAGATTGTAGACTTGAATAACTAGTGAAGATTTTTGGTCCTTGTGGGTGGAATATCAGAGCATTGTGTAGTGGCTCATCTCTTTGCAGGACTCCCCAGTATCTCTCATCCCCACACTTAGAACCTGAATCATCCCACAGTTGCTGTGGCCATGGAGAAATGCCCACACAGATTTCTTATCTCTGCATAGAACCCACTGGCGTAGCACATGGTAGTAGAGTATGGCTCTTTCCCAGCCACTGGAGGAATCTGAGAAATGACATGCCCTAGTATTATAGACTGAATGTCTGTGTCCCCACCACCCCATGTATATCATACCGAGCGTGATGGAATTTGGAAGTGGGGACTTTGGGAGAAGTCATAAAAGCACTTTTGATAAGAGGGAGAGAAACCAAGATGCTCTCTCTTGCTCTTTCAATCCTTTATCCTCACTTCCCTCCCATGAGGACTCAATGAAAGGAAGCTGTGTGCAAGTCAGAAAAAGAGCCCTCGCTAGACTTCCACCATCCTGGCACCTGAGCTCACCGGAGCCAGCCTCCAGATCAGGAAGAAATAAATGTTTGTTTTGAGTCCCTCTAATGGTATTTTGCTAGGGCAGTCTAAGCAAGCTTAGTCACTTGGTCTTCACTTTATAGATCAGCAGGTATTGTTTGAAATGGAGAACTAATAGTGCCAGGATGAGGCTGGAAGACCACGTGGGAGTCTGCTGCACC